AGGGTTCAAGCCAATGATCCTTGCTGGATTTGACCAAAGATCCATCTAGTCCAACATTCTGGTTCCAGACGTAAACAGCCGGATGCCTCTGAGAAGCGCACAAGGAACACCTCCACCTGCATGTGACCCTCCTATCATTGGACGGGGGCTTTCTCTAAAAGCTGGCGGGGACTCTCATGGCACTCTCACTGTGGAATTCTCCTTCCAGAGAGGCAGCCCCATAGCCAGAATTTTTTTGCTTGGGGAGGGGCAAATTGGGGGCAGCTCCATCCATGCAGCGGCTTGCTGACTCTGATGGCAGCCTGAGCCGCAGAATGACTTGAGCTCAAGTCCGCCCCCCCCCCGGTGGCTCCAGCTCCCATTGGAGGGGAGGGAGATGGTGACTGCCGTGCGGCCTCACCAGGTCTTCCTGCTTTCACAGCCAGCTTCTTAAACTCTGAGAAGCTGGTTACATAATCAGGAAGACCTGGAAACGCCACCCCTCTCCCTCCCTTGAGAGGCTGGGCATATTCAGGGGTGTTGCCCTCATCAGCCCCCCTGTGGATACGGGCGTGCAGAGAGGTTAGACAGGCCCCTTCCATCCTGGTTTTTCAGAGGTCCCTGAAAACCATCTTATCCCTGTGAATGTTTAAGTATTTTATGTAGATCTTCTCGGTTGCACAGTGATTTTACCGGTTATTCTGCTGGGGATTTTGTGTGTGTGTGTGTGTATATGTGAATATATAGCTAAATATGCATGGTTGTATTTTTATTTAGTTAATGTATTTCGCTAATATGTTGTCAGTTACCCTGGGGGCTTCCTATGGAGCTGTGTAGCATGGAATCAGTCTCAAGAAAGGAATAAAGAAGGAGGCAATAGGGAATTATTATCCCCAAAATTTGGTATTCAAAGGTATACTGCACTTGAACACTCCATTTAGTTGTCTTGGTTACGGACAGGGCACATAGCCTGCCATGTATCGTCAGGATGGGTATTGGGCACATGACTGTGGTTATGACCTGACAGTACTCAGATCATGGCAAACTTCTTAATGCAGTGTTCAACAGGTCTCCCCTGGCAACTATTCATTCCAAGGGACAGTCGACATTGTGGGCATAATTCTGTTAACTTGCTGGAGGTTCCCCTAATGCAGAAGAGAGATCTGACAGAGGCCATTTTATGGTGTAGTTACAGGTGTTCTGCACCAGAGGGCACCGGAGAATAAGGCCCACCAAGTCTAGACTCAAAGATGTGGTTTTAATGCTAGAATAAGACATAAAATGAAATTCAAATGTACGCCTTAACAAATAAAGAGAAACGCCTATTTCCATCTCACAGATAACATTACTATGAGGGATTCAGTTGCTGAATTTGTTGCCTTGGGGCAGGCAAGAGGAGAATCCCTCCATCTCTGAAATTTTAATATATTCTGCAGAACACTTGTGGCGCGTGTTTATCCCAAGAGAAGAATGCTGCCCATTACAGAAGGATTTAATAATATGTGATTTATCTACAAACTCAACCTGCATTTTGCAGAGTGCCAAAAAAAAAAACACATTAAAAAAAAATATATATATAACGTGCACCAATAGCTCCAGGAAAGCCTTCTGTTTTCAATTCCCTTTGGTGAAACATAAATGGATAAAACACTCTACATTTGATGGATTTCTAGTTAATTGTACTTGACAACAGGAAGTTCAAGGCATTAAAAACAATTCCCAGGGTGTTCTCCTTGATTTCTCATGATGGCGCTTTTTCAGACTCTGGAGATATTTCATGATGGCGCTTTTTCAGACTCTGGAGATGTGTGTTATTAAGTGGAAACTTTATAACAATAAACAGATTTTGTTAGGGAAAGGAGGAGTTTTGGTGGAGTGCCTACAACAAAAGGAATGAGCCCCAGTGAAACTCATAAATGCCTTCCCCCTTGAGAGAGCCTGGTGAGATTTCACAGAACCACCAAGTTGGAGAAAGGGGGCATTTTCCTTCAACCCCCCCTCCGCTCCACACACACGTCCTCATAGATACTATAGGATCTCAATTAGATGCCTGTCTAGTCTTTTATCAGAGGGTTTCTAGTTTCCTGTAGAGGCTGTAGGGAGCCTTTGGGCCCAAGAATAAACTTTTAGGTGGCCTGGTTAGAGCTGGATTCACATGGTGTTAGTCAACAGGCAGAGCATCCACATGGAGCCCCACCACCCCTCAGGCTCCTTTGATCTCAATTAAAGGAGGTCTGGATCAAAGGGGAAGCCCAGGAGAGGTGCTCAGAATGAGCGCAATGACACATGGACTCTCCTCTCAAGAGAGGAGGCATGGGGCTGTACATTCAGGGAAGGTCCCTGTGCGGAGGCAGCCAAATAGTAATCTCCAGAGAACCAGATCCAGAAAGCTGAGAGAGGCTGGCTTCTGCAGGACCAAGGAGAGCTCCCAGGCACACCAGATGTTGTTCAGAGAGGGGCCTCAGCTCAGCTGTGAACCAAAGCACCAAAGCACACTTCTGAGTGCCGGGAGCCTCATTCCTGAGAGTTGAGAACGACCCATAGTTCAGCCTGACACCAAATCCACAGTCCTTTAGGCACTTGGCAAAGACTTTTTTTATTTTCCAAGCTTTTAGGTTACTGCTCCTCCTGTCCCCCATAATACCCATTTACAGTTTCCTCCTTTTTCGCCTTGTGCTGCTGATTTTAGGGGGAAGCTATTTCACGATCTTTATTATCGCGTTTAACTGATCTTAGATGCCTTTATGTTTTATCTGCTGTGGCTTTTATGGTTTTATCTGAGAGGTACTTCTATGTTTCACTTTAGTAGTCTTATTGTTACTATATTATGTTTGTGGTTTCTGTTTTAATGGAATTAGGGTGAGCCACATGGAGAGAGGGGGATGTAAATATTTTGTCAACAAAAATTTAAAGGACCAGAGTTCTGGCTTAGAGCCCTGCACTCTGGTTCCATTCTGCCTCTCTGCTGGGAGCGTATAAGAAAGTGAAGGTCCTTGGGTGGTTGGTGAAGTGGTGGAACTCTAGATTCTGTTTCCTTGCTTCAAAGGTGTATCACAGAAAGAAGGAATTTTGTCTGGATTTCCAGTCGCTTGGACAGAGCCAAACATCTACCTGGGTATCCTATGGAATAATCTCCCTTAGGCCAGTTTGGGGCTTGTGGCACTATGGATACATTGGACTATCCATATGATTTAAAGCCAGTTATGGCACCCATTAAGCCCTGGCTGTGTCAGGTCTCAGCCCTTGGACACCATAAATAGAAACCTATACAGATGTGGGTCTGCCTCAGGGACCCTGCATTTAGCATAGCTCCCAGTGGTCTAGTTGAGCATTATGTTGATCACTCAAGAGAGCATAATGCTTGATTCTTTCCCTGGCACATTGGCCATGACATCCTCAAGCATCTAGAGGCTTCAAAACCAGAGACAAGGAGTGCCATCCTAAGCAGAGTTACGCCAATCTAAACCCACTGGTTCCAATGGTTTTAGAAGGGTACAGCTCTGCTCAGAATGGTACTGCCAGTCTCCTTTATCCTGGAACCAGAAACTGAGCTATGCTGCCCTGCCATCCTCCCAAGGATCCATCCTGTGATATCCCCGAGATGTTTGGAAGAGATTTTACCCTTCTCCTTACTTCAAGAGGGGGTAGCCAACAATGTAGTCAATCCAGTTTCAGAGCTAGGATAAAATACACATTTAATATACATTAAACATGGATAGTTTTGCCATTACTCCTGGATTAGACATTCATGTCGGGTGAGATAAACCTTTTAGACTCTCCTCTATCTGAACACAAGGTCTTCCCAAACAAAAGGGTTAGATTTATTGTTTATAACACACAGAGGACATACAATTGCAGTCTAAGCAATGGCTCTAGGTGACCTAATATTATCATTTACTTGTTACAGGGGACACATAACAAGAAGTAATTGTTTCTGGGTTAGAAATCAAAGCCCCCTTTGTCTCCTTGATGTAAGGTAAAGCTTACTTTACATACATATGGCCAGTTCCAGTTTGATGATAATTCAGCAATAGTTTTGGCTGAATCCTTGTAGGAAACATATGAGAACTAGCTAGTATGAGAACTAGCTAATGAACCCAGGGGGGCAGGAATGTGAATTACCCTAACTAATGTAGCTGAAGTTCATCAGTTCTCAGAAACAATACCTTTCCCCCCACCCCGGGGCAGAACATAAAGGAAAACATATTCAGACTTGTCACAGCAAGACAGGACAGATTGGGGATGATTCCCTGATGACAGGAAACAGTAGCTACATGCAGCTTGGTCCCTTTATAATGGAGGCACTTTGGTCCATGTGGATACAGAGGATTATACTTAATGAAGACAATTAAATACTTTATGCTTCCAACACGACGTGGTAGTTTCCTTGTAAGCTTTTGATCCTGCAGGTACTCAAGTGTGCTTGCCTATAACCCAGTGGAAAGAGCAACTCCCCGTGTGGTTCTGGTGAATTTTACCATGGTTGTTAACGCACACAGAAAAGGACTTGCAATGATGGCTCAAAATGAGAGTGTGTTGCAGATCAGGCACTGGATCCCTGCTAGAGCACTGAAGCTCCGGGTCAAAAGAGGGAACTGTAGGAAATGCATGCTGGGGAAAGTTGCATGACTGCCTAGAATCCTCTGAGCCCTGGAAATTGGGAGACAGAAGCAGCCCAATCCTATCTGATGTAAAGCTCCCAAATTCACAGCACTCCCTTGTCACTGTGGGAAGCCATCAGGTTAACCTTCTGGGCTGCCAGATTAAAAGTTTTTGGACTACCTGCTCCCTGAATAACCTCTTGCCTGCCTGCCTGCCTGCCTGTCCTGACGTATTTGCTAGCCTGAGAGCCTGGCATGGTTGATGAAAACCACTGGACCCAAGTGGGATGCCACAACTGTGCCTTGCTGCACACAGAGCAACCTGCACATAGTTATAATTCCAGGGCTGAGGAGACAGCACAAATATCCCAGACTGCCAGGTGTTTCATGCTGATGATCGACAAGTCAAACAACACTTACCTCTTAACTCCCCTAGGTCGAGCGTCTTCCCTAGCTGCTCTAATAAATCGGCCCGGGCTGCATTCTTTTTGTGTTTTTTCCCATCGTAGTGTTGCTGTGCCATCATTGGGTTATTAAACCAAGCTGCGCAGAGCTGGCAATACCGGTCAGAGTCTCTTCTCTGGTGGGGTGGAGATACCACCGGAGTGCTATCCACACGTGGCTGCTTTAGGGAACTCAGGTTTGTCTCTGTAAAAGGAAGAAACGAAGTTTATACTTGACCACACAAGTTTCTGTTCTGGTTATCAATTCATTTTTTTTTTTACAAATTTATACAACACTCTTCTGCAGCACTTTGCTCCCAAGGCAGCTTACAGGGAATAAACATAACACAGTTAGAAGTGAATGGCATTCTTCTGTTAATAGGCCTTATTACCTGTCACATTTTTTTTCCTGGGGATGTCTCTGGGTCAGGTGGAGAGGTATGTTTGGAAGTTCTGCACTTCCCGGTGCACATGTACCTGATCTGGATTGAAGCCATGGAGTGTGGACAGAGGGCTTAGACATTCTCCCCTGAATCACTTTCTCAACTTGAAATGGCCTCTGAGGTACTATTTGCCCTACTGGGGGCTGCACATGTACTGATGAGCAACATGTGACATTTCCACAACCAGGGGAAAAGTGCCCCCATTGTCATTTCAGTTCAGGAAAATGACATGGGGTGAGGTCTAAGCCCCCTGTCTCCCATGGACTACATTCCTGATGCAAATCAGGCCCACACATGGGGGGAATTACAGAACACAACTCTTCACGTGACCCAGGAACATCCCACAGAAAACATAACATGTTGGACCCTCAACCCCAGGGAAACTGTTCTCTCTTCTGCTCCTTCTGTGAGGTAGTTGGCAGCTGATGTGGCACTGATCTGATTGTAACTGTTGGCATGCCAAGAAACAGAAAGGTGATTTTAAAGTCTGAAAATGTGTGGCCTGTTCACCAGTGGTCCTGAAGAGAAGATCTGTAGTGTTGTAAATAAGACTAAAATAACTAGATCAACCAAAAATGCCTCTGTTAGAAATTTTTGAGACCAGTGGCACCTTTGAGACCAACAAAGTTTTGTTCAAGGTATGAGTTTCCGTGTGCAAGGCACACTTCTGCAGTGCATGCACACGAAAGTGCACACCTTGAATAAAGCTTTGTTGGTCTTAAAGGTGCCACTGAACTCAAACTTTGTTCTACTGCTTCAGACCAACACGGCTACCGACCTGGATCTACCTGTTGTGACTGATTGTAAAACTCCCTCTGGATGCAACTGTGTGATAGGAGGACAATCATCTATAGAATCAGGCCTCTTTATGAGGTGAAATTCGCCAAACTAGGGCTACAGGTGGCCATGCCTGCATAGACTTCCCCACTGGAAGTCAGGGCCAGAGTAGGGCAAATGTAAAGACCTAGTAAACTGTTGAATGTTCTGCTCTGTTGCCCAGGCAAGGGTGGACGGTGCCTGGTAGGCACCCAATCCAGAGCCTTCACAGTTCCTGCCAGTCATAGGGGTAGATACTGCACATGCCTGGGCTTTGAGACTGGAGCGCATAGTCCTGGGTAGGGTTGCCAATCCCCAGTTGGGGGATCCCCTGGTTTGGAGGGGGGGGGGCGTGCGTCAAGGGTGATCACAATGTGGTGGGGTGGGATTTCTGCTGGGTGCTTCATTATACCCTGAGGAGACCAGTTCCCATAGAGTATGATGGAGAATCGATCTGTGGGTATCTGGGGTGGGCTACTGTTTGAGGTAGAGGCACCAAATTTTCAGCATAGCATCTGGTGCCTCAAGCCATAAGGATCTTGTTCCAAATCCTAAAGTCCATGACAAAAAGAAAAATAACACCTCTAATTGTCAGTGAATCCGGGCAATTGGCGAAGAAACCCCCTCCTACTTTGATTGCAGATAAAAGACTGTGCAATTGTTTCTCATCTTACATTCTCAGCAAGCACATTTCTTAGGAGCAGAATCAAATAGGTACATTTTTAGCTAAAATCTGATTTCTTTCCCACATCAAAAAGGCTTCTTTCCTTTTCTGACGAAACTTTAATGAGATCACATCTAGAGGGAACTTCAAGGTGATGGAACCTTGATTACCTGATTCCTTAGAGGGGTTTTTTTTTGGGGGGGGGGGAAATAACATATTCCATATGCACAATTATGACATTAACACTTCCACAATTGAACAGAACTCTTCCTCTAGCAGCCCAAAAGAAAAGAAATCCTACAAGCAGAGGTCATTTCGGGGGGGAACGTGGGGATCACAGTTCCCCCGGGTGAGATGCGGGGGCGGGGCACATGACGAAGCCCCGCCCCCTGCTTCCGGCCACCCTGCTTCCAGCCCTCATTCAGCCAGGAGGAGGCAGGAGAAGCGGGAGGGTAAGTTGCTTCCTCCCCGCCTCTCCCCACCCCTGCCTGCCTGGGGCCAGGGAGGGCCTTGGCGGGGCTTCCTCGCACTCCCGCTGGCCTTGCAGGTCCACCGCCGGGCCCCTGATGTCAGGGGGTGTGGCATATGCTAATGAGTTATGCTAATGAGTCCCCCTAGCTCTTTTTCTACGAAATGACCCCTGCCTACAAGGCACCAGGTATTGGGAATGGCAACACCCCACCCTGCAGCACTATTTTTCTGAAGCCCTGATCTGTGAGCCACTGAGGAAGAGAGGAAAGAAGCAAGCTGATCTTTCATACAGGTACGATCAAAGCACATTAGGGAAATGAGATCCTTGGTGCATTTGACTGCGGAAAGATGGAAATTTTTCTTCTCTGTGGCAGCATTTATTTTCCCTTACCAATTACCTCATTTTACCCCTTAGAACACAACTTCTTTTTCTTTCCCGTAATGCAATGACCTTGTAGGTTCATCTCCTATCTGTTTTTTTTAATTTGACATGCTAATTAACAAAGTCACATTACTGCCCTGACCTGGATAGCCCAGGCAAACTCAACCTCGTCAGATCTCGGAAGCAAAGCAGGGCCGACCCTGGCAAGTACTTGGATGGGAGACCTCCAAAGAATACCAGAGCTGGGACACAGAGGCAGGCTATCAAGCCACTTCTCTGAATGTCCTCCGTGCCCCAAAAAGGAGTCGCCAGAGGTCACCAGGGCTTCTAGTTATGGGCACATACACACGCACATGTACACACACAAAAATGCAATGAAAAAAAATTCACTTTACTGTTTATCTTGGATCTGAACGTTGATTAGGACTTCCATTTGGGAGCAGGTTTGAAAAGATGTGGAATGAGCCCTGCGTCCTGCGTCCTGCATCCACTCATGCAGAAACCCAGTTTGTATGATTTCCTCCCCCTCAAAAAGGGGAGAAAGAATCATGCAAACTGAGCCTTCCTGAGACAGGGGGGCCAGCAGGGCATCTAGTCCACACTGGAGGCTACCTGGGTTCTGTGCTGCCCATGGCTGAGTATGTGAGCGGTGGGGAGGGGGGCTATGTGGCTAGAGGTAATCTACCATCATATACCAAAAAGGGGGGAGGAAAAGTTGCATAAACAGGAGCATTTGAATGCTTTATTCTGCAGGAATTCTTTGGCAAGGATTTGAGGAAGGATGCTTAAGTATAGGGCAGTATGCATGAATTTATAGCAGTCAAGGCAATATTATAAAGGAAAATGATAAAACGTCATCCAACCATTCTGAGCCATTAACCTAACAAAGGGACAACCAGCTGACGATTGCAGTAACAGTACTACCGATCACAATAGGACACTTGGTATTATGAGTCCGGAGGGAACCATAAGGACTATTCACGTTACAAAAGAAAGAAACAAAAACCATAAAGGGATTGTTTTAAGAAAGCAGCTGGGGGGCGGGCGGAGGAAAACGGACTTCATATCAACATCTATTTGTCTTTCAAACACTGAGAGTCACTAAGATCCATCCCATGGCTTCAAGGAACCCATTTGGAACCAATGTGGTTTGAACTGAACTAATGGATCTGAGAACTTATTTTACATCCCTAAATGTTATCTTACATACCTACAGTTTGAAATGCTGGTCCTTTGGTCCTCCCCCATCACCCACTGTCCTTCTGTTTGCCATCACATGTAAACATGGGGTTGGATGCAGACTCAGCTGATCCCTCAACTGATGCCTCAAGTCTTCCTATTTCAAACCCCCCCCCCCAATGTTGTTCTTCTGGGTCCCAAGAGCAGCATGTTGTGGAGGTCTGTGGGGTGCACTGGGAGGCAGGAAAAGTTCCATTCTACTGATGGAAAATTTAGTCTGGGGTACGTGCATATCATTGTCTTTATGTGGCCATATACATATGGGTAACTGCCAATTGCATATGACAAAGTGGGTTCTGGCCCCGGACAAAGGGGGTTAGGTCTCCCACTATAGCAGAAGACCTCCCAGCCTGGCCCCCACTCAATTCCCCACCACCTCTCAGCAGCCCAGGAAAATGGAGGGAGGAACACCTTAGCATCATGTGCAACACTGGAAGAAATGTCATTGCATTGGTTTAACCACAGGATTTTGGGTGAATCCTAGAGCATTGCCTGGACATGATGATGTCACAGTTTCATACTGGAAGTGACATTGCACGTTGGTACACTGCCAAAGAGCTTGTCTCTGCCCTCCCAAATTCTTTGGTTGGCGTGCCAGCTACCCACAAGATTTTACTAAAATGAATTTATTAGTCTTTACACTGCAAGAAGATTTTCTATTGCTTTTCTTCAGCACACAACTACTGGTCTGGAATCTATCTATCTAGCTATCAGGGAAGAGCTAAAGTTCCAACTAATAACATCTAATAGTCAAGTATGTCCCTCCATGGGGATGAAAAAATATTCAAGGAGGGGCACCCACAACCAAGGAATATATTCACACAAATCTGGATTTCCCCTCAAGTTTCAGAAAAACATGAAAAATAATTAAAAGCTGGGGAGCTAATCCTCCCCCCAACAGTGATCTCAGTGCACACACAAATATCATGGGGGGAAATCCACAGGTGGTACTTGGGGTTGCTGTAGCAACTCAGAATGGTGTGCGACGATTGCAAGCCCCCCCCCCCCACTGCCACAAAAAAAGAGAAGGAGCTGCATTGGTGAGGAGTGGGAGCAGGGCGGGATAAGAAAAAGAGAACCGTAGGGGCTGCCATGGAAGAAGCAGAGCAGGCAGGCAGGCAGGCCACTGCCCCCTATATGGAAAGCCTGCTCACTACGTCGTGACGTCATCAAAGGTAGGCATAACATTC